GAGATTTTCTTAGAGACAATATTAATAGGACTGTTCCAGCAAGGTCAAACGGCAGCTTGCTATGAGGAATCTTTTATCCTCTTCTGGTGGAATCAACTTTGAATTACTTCATCATACACATTCATAATTGCAATATAGTGTACCAAGCATATTTTATGGACTTTTATCATAGTGAATGAAATAATATGGCTCTTTATATAAGCATGAGGTCTCTAACGATAAAAATACACTAAGAAGGTTAACTGTGATCTGATTTATATCTTTATTTATGGCATTTAATATAAGACAAATATATTTACTTATTTTGGCTATTCCTGTTACATGGAATGTTTCCGACACTCCCAGAGTTCATTTCTCTCACATCTTTCTATTTAGATTTGTAGGTATAGCTTAATTCTTGTAGGAAATGCCTAGGACTACGTTATATTGCCACTAGTACACTTGGTTCATAGGGCTTATGTGAATTTTAAGGAAGGCGAGGCATAGTTCTTATATTACAATCTGAGGTGTGATTGTCGGTGTATTAAAGTTATATATGCTACAGCAATCAACAATTTTGCTTGTTTTTCGCTTATAAGTAGGCTTCCCTTTTATCACCCTAAATGAGATTGAATCTATACACCTCATATATATATATATATATATATATATATATACTTAAAAGCGAAAAATAAGTAACGTAGTCAATTGCTTTAGCAAATAAAGCATTGCTTCATCGACAATTCCACCACATATTGTGATATTGGAAAAATGCCTGTCCCTCCTTATAATTCATATTTACACTGTGACTCAAGGCACTCGTGGCAATATAATGTTATAGTGAATATCTCAATATTATACACTGCGGTTTCATGGTTGGAAACACGCTAGGGGTGTTGATAAGACCTAGGCAAAGCTAAAATGGCAGTTCACACCAGAAAAGAATTACTTTTGGGAAAGTAAGAATATGTGAAATTCTATTAAAAAATCGTGTCCATTCATATTATTATAAGAAAACTTTACTAATAGTCAACCTTATCACCCTAAAAAATCAATTAAATATACCTCATATATTGTAACTTGATTGTTTCAGATTTGGAGTTCTTTAGGGTCTACCAGAGGCTTATGAGTCTCATGACCTTAATCTTACTGTCCTCATCATTAACTAGGTCGGTGCAACTAACTTACTGCCGATGAATGGAGCTATTTTAGAGCACTTTACACAAAATAAGAATCAACATTATTTTAATATTAGAGTAGGCAAAATGTACTAATTAAAGTTAGGATAATTGTATAGCAAATAATATGTTGGCCTGATTTTATGTGTGCTATAATGTATAGCAATATGAAAAAGCACATTTACTAGAAATAAGGCGATTTTTTAACAAGCATAATATAATGACCTCAGATTCGAAGTAGATACGAATTATTTTAAAAATGTGAAACAAATATTGTCCTATATCATTGGGCTACACTCTGAATATCTCAAAGGGGCTTGACATTTTGTGGTATGCCGTAGCAGTTATTTGTGTATCCTCCAGATTATTTAACACAAAATTCATACACATTTGTGCGCATATCACGCTCAAACAAGACGATTTTTATAATTATAGTGATATATCTCTCGAGATAAAAAATTCAATGTTGCAATCTCAAGGTTAAATTAGATAAATTTCAAATTCAATTTTATAAAATGATAAGTTGGTTGTAGTATTTGATTAAATTATATACAAAATAAAAAATTGCAGTATAAAATAATGCAGCGGACACTAAAATCAGATTAGGAAAAGAATTATTCTAAGAATAGATAAAAAGTGCCCTATATTATTATTGCTATACGACAATAAACTAGATAATATGTATCGCAATTCTTGAAATTATTATACTGCACATTTTTTGTCATTTATGGTTAAAATTGTACTATTATGTTAATTTTAAATTCTGCTCTTATATATATATATATATAAATTATAAGAATATTAAAAATAATCTTGTTCAGAAATTCAATTCGGCCAGTGAGAATTATCTGAATACAATCGTAATCAAGACATAAAGATATAAATAAAATAAATTGTCTAAAGGATATAAGAAATAAAAAAGATTAAGAGATATAGGGAAAGAGAAATATCGAGGAAGCAAATAGTCTGAATTTTGCTTGACTAATTTATATACGAGTAATTTTTTAATTATCTTGGGCAAGATGATTCAAAAGGAGAATGTAATAGGGTTGTCATAACGGGTACAACTAAGTTGCTTTCAATAAAAGATAAAAGGAAGAATAAAGCATAATATAATTCAATCGAACATAAAATCTATGCATATAAAATAAAATACGCCTATTATTAAGTATTCCTATTTACTGGTCAATGGGACTGCAGAAAAAAACTTCTGTTCTATCTAATAATTAATGAATTTATAATGCAACTGAGAAACAAATATAAAAGCTTTATATGTGCCATACTAGCATAGTTAAACTACGAAATATAATATATATAAACTGATTAAGTAAAAACTTTTGATTAAACTATGCTTCAAAATAATCTGCAGGTCCTTTTAACTAATTTAATTGTATGTATACAAAATTAGTTTATTTAAATGTTTTTAAAAATTATGTCAAAATATTTGTTTTACCAATTAACTTGCATATATATAAATTTTGTGACAATTCAAGTATTGCCTGCGCTGCTTCAAGCTATGCGTAAGCTACGTGGTGGTGTGACTAAGGAAACGAAGCGAGACAAGCTCCAACGGAGGAAAGATGTGCGAGTTCTCCCCGATCAAATAAAAAAAATTGTCCTTCCAACTTTACTATCAATAATAGCCGGCCTCATCATAATTGTGTTTCTTCTTACGCGCGGCACTGTGAAGGAAAGTGATTGAGGCACACTACCTTAATCACTATAATTACCTGTGCCCATTGCAGCTGTGCCTTTCAATTACTTTAATTCTTTATTTTTGTTTTCTATACTGGACCTTACTTCACATGAGCTGCATCTGTTTATGTCCCTGTCGAGATATTCCAGTTATTTGAAAAAATTTATTTCTTCTCAATCTTACTCTCTGTACATTCCTTTAAATTATAAACCCCGCAGTTAATTT